GTGATAACTCAGCATTTTATCCATCCATTTTTGGTTAGTTATGCTAGCGTGGGAATTTTTTTTAGTCCCATGGGAATTCCCATATTTCCCATGGGCTGCACCCAAGGGGGGTGCCCGGCCCATGGGAACTATGGGCATGTACGGTGGGCCGAAGATTCTGGGGTGCCCATGGGAAATGTCAAGGTCTAATACTGAGTATCACTGAGTAATCAGGGAGCACCCAATAAGCACTCACTGAGCACTCACTAAGTATCAGTCATTCTGTACGTGACTGATCTGAGCCTGATCACTGATCTCAGCCCGTACTGACATCTACTCAGTGAGCCTGAGCCTGAGCACCCTCATAAAAGCGGCCGCAGCTCAAATAGGAAAGCCCCACCCGCCAGGGAAAATCCGGTACGTATAGGTACATATGTACCGGATAATGTCTGGCACTCGAGGCGTATAGAAAAGAAGGGTCTCTATTGGCTAGGAAGCGAGGGCTCCACCAGATTATACAACTAGATTCACCTAACTATAACTATGGCCTAGCTAGTACTATCCAATAGAAACCATGCGATCCTTACAGAATCTCATGGGTGTAGATCAAATGTCACGTGACACCATTTACAGCTGATATAATCCAGAGGAATGATTGATTGTTCTTTTACTTATGAGGGAATATAAGAGACTATATACATTGTGAGGTCTAATTTGATTGGAATTCAAATTGATTCTTCGCCTACATCCTGGAGGAATTATTTCCGACAATGCGGCTTGGTTCCTAATCTGCACCAGCCTTGTATCACAACAACAGCACACCTCGTCGCCAAACACCTTGCTTTCTTAAAGTTTCTTTGTAGACAGCTTGATATGACTCCTGCTTGAGCCTTTTATATATGATAGCTTGAGAAAGCGAAAGGATTGATTAGCGAACGAACAGTGATTGGCGAAGGCCACTATCAACACAATCAACCGCTAATAAAACGCCTGCGATAAACTATCGCAAACTCATTCTTTGCCGAATTAGCATGCAGTACGTAAAATAGATGAATGTATGAGATGTTTGCTGGAAGCCCATGTTTCACGTTCGGTTTACTTTTTTCCCTGTCTGACTTGCTGGCCGCACAGTTTCTATATTGGCTGTTGGCCTCAGCCTTTTATCAGCAACAAATGCGCTCTATGCGTCAAAGATCCTTAGGAATGCCACTTTTAGCGTAGTGGTACTTTGCGACAATATGGGGGAAACCTGTACAATTTCAATGCATATAGATAGCGACGAACTACCGGGGTTATGCCGCGCCTTTTCGAGTAAAAGCTGATTTCTAATATCGAATTTCACAACCAAAGCTTGGTACCGAGAAGTCGGGTAGTTACTCGCTGATCTCTACATAGTCACTACCAAACGACCCTTCAAGTGTGGATTCATGTACCGGTCCGGCAGATTTGTACCTTCCTCCAGGCTCATCGTCTGCACATGGGATTGCACACCCTTGTCAGCAACCAACTGCATCATATCAGAGACTAGCCGCTGATTGGCCAAAAGACTCCCTCTGATCACCAACGTCTTGAAGACAATATCGAATGCCGAGAACTTAAACCCTTCTTCAGGAAGTCCGAATGGAACGCAGACTCCATGTGGTCGGAGTACTTTCAAGCTCCACTCAGTCGCCTCGATGCTATCAGTGCAAACAAGAATGCCAGCAAGACCGCCACCTCCGGCAAAACTGATAACTTCTCTGGTTGCCTCAGGCGCATTGTAATCGATAACTCCTCCCGGTCTCAGATGTTCAGGAACCTCTTGGGCTACCTGCAGGCCTTCGGCGCGATTATCGATTGCAACAACCGGGTGTCCGAGAGCTGCTGCAAACTGCAGCGCCAAACAGCCCAATCCGCCGATGCCAACCACTCCGATTGGGAGATCTGGCTTCACGGACGCTTCATCGAGGCCCGTCCACACAGTCGCCTGTGGACCTCGTTAAAATCGATGAAAACAATTTGCACGATTGGTCAACTCACTCCAGCGCACATCAGCGGTGCTGCCTGTTCAAAAGAAAGGCCGTCTGGCAAATGCACAGAAGTCGCAGGGTCCGCCACAACGTATTCTGCAAAGCCGCCATCAGCGCGAATGCCCGCCATATCTTTGTTTTCGCAGAAGCGGATGTCCGGTTCCAGGGGCCGCAAGGGGTCACGAGACACCTCACAGCCAATGCAGCTATTACATCCATGTCGGAAATTGAGCAATCCGATCCGTTGGCCAGTCTTCCACACAGGAGGAGCATTTGCACCCACGGCGACAATGGTGCCAACCGGTTCGTGGGACGGAGTCATGGGAGTCGGCGACTTATACTCCCCTTTATAGACTTGATAATCCGTGTGACAGAATCCCGCCGCTCCAACCTTAACTAACAGCTCATTGTCACCAATAGAGGGCACTGGTATGTCTTCTAGCTTGTATTGGGAGCTGTACTGATAAAGTGTAAGTTTGGTAACCGTTCAGTTTCTCGAGTATTGGCGTTACCTGGACAAGCCGGAGGGCCTTCATAGTCTTGGGGATCATGGTGACGAAGCTGGGAAGTATTGAACGTTGCAATCTTGAATCGACATTCTTTTGCAACTGTTTCTAGGGGCAATACGCTTCGCCCAGGGGCACGTTACCATGACGTAGATTACATATGAAGGACTAAGAAGGTGGAACCGCCTTGTTTGCATTTTCCGGTGAATCTATATGAAAGCAATTGCTTCACGTCATCGCCGAATGGGGTGGAGGCGGGGCTTTAAGCCAAGTCGAAGGCGCATCGCTGTGCTGGCTACCGCAGAGCTCACCCATTCGTGGTTTCTCTTTCCGTTGAGGAAAGACTCAAAAAAGAAGAGGGATCAAATGAGAAACAGGCTGCTCACAGAACCCTACTTGGATATGGAGGTGATCCTTTCCAGCAAAAAAAGCATTGACACATTCGGCAACCACAAATGTGACGTGGCCGGGCCTGACCGAGGACATCAGACCCAACTCTGTCTAGTCTCTCGGAGCTAAAACAAGGTAAAGCAAGATACGGCGCCCAATAAACTCTGGGGATGGCAAGTATGTTGGAGGTCAATTCCGAGACGCGCTAGTAAGGTCTGTATCAAGATTGGAGCTCAAATACATGTGACCCGCATTACTTCTGTACCACATGCGGGGTGGAGATCGTGTGTGCCAAAGACATCACAACAAGATCCGGATTATGTCGTTCCCGTGGAACAATTCACTTCAAGTCCAACCGACTACCTCCGAGATCCGCATTTCCGATCCCTCTTGATCAAGGGATTGAAGGGCTTCTCTAACCTCAACGTTGAACAAGGGTCCGTTGTGAGACAACATATCTTTTGCTCTTCGTGCGTCGCCTTCTATATCAGAATACAGCGTGAGAATTCCATTGTCCTGCTGAGATTCTGTAAGGATCGCATGGTTTCTATTGGATAGTACTAGCTAACGTATTTCACAAGCGAGTGACGCAGTCCGATACACATAGTAAATGGGATAAATTACAACTTGATATC